TTCAAAAAACTCATGAATTGATTTAAAATTTTGCAGGTAGCTTTTTAATAGTAATAAGAATCTATAATAACAAATTCAACATGCTAGCATTGTTTAAGTATATAGCCTATACATCCTTAAACATTTGAGTCCAATCTTCCATTCGCATCGGACACTCGCCTTCCGGAATTCCACCGTTTCTAGAGTTAATATTTATATTTCGAACGTGCAAGGTTCTCTTTTGTTCTCTAATTATATACACGGGTTTCTAACAGGCGCCGCAGTATCGGGGATCAAACTCCTCTCACGTGATACAGTTCGCGGTAGCTAGCTCCGAGAATTACGAAACACCCGGACCCGGTTGCCCAAGAGTCTATGTGTCCGGTAGTTTCTCTTTGTTCCACTGGTTGACTCCGGGATAACCGGCTATCCGCGCCCCAAACTATAGACACACACGCCCTAGCAAAAGTAGCTAAAAATATATAAGAACAGCTGACATAAACGATTAATAAAATCGATCGTTACTTATTTATGTCTTCATGCCATCGTCCCAAATTTTACTGATTTTTCACAAGTTTTTTAAAGATTAAAATTCTGTACTCCAAAATAATAGATTCACAATTCCTTTCTATATAAATGCACAGCAGTTGGACGAAACACCCTCACAGTTCTCTTTCTATATAAATGCTATATGATAATTGCATTTTTTTTTTGCACAGGACTCTGTAATAAAATCGTAGTTCGACGGTCTTCAATGACCCATTGAGTATATGAAAAGGAAAGTTGAACATGTCTGAAATTGGACATTGGAGGTGTACAATGGGAAGTAAAGAGTTTAATGACGCCTACACGTGTTCCGGTTTATCAATGAGCACGCAGGTCATCTATGAGGAAGGTTGTTCAGAAACAAAGTAAATATAGAAGCCGAGTTCATGGAAAGTTCACGGTAGCATTAATGGAGTGCAGGTCAGTAAACATTCGCAGGGACACTTAATGCCAGGGCTTGGTATCGATTACCATTACCGAAGATGGCTCGTGGTAATAATTAAGCCGAGTGAATCGATGCGACGTCGTTAGCCTCGGTATTACCTGAATTATTACGGGGTCGTTGGATCATCGGTCAGGTGTGGCAAACCGAGGCAAACACGTTTCGCGAAGGTCGCTAGACGAAAGGTTAAAACGCGTGCGTGGTTTAAAATAGTAAAATAAGATCGACCTTTGCTAGTCTTCCTGTTCCGACCCTCGACAGTAACAATCGATGGGACGATGGTATTTTTAGATTACGTGTAAAGATTCAAACAAGTTAAAACTGAGGAGTAAAGAATTTCTAGCTACAGAGTGGAACGTATCTGTGAATTTGAAAAGTAAATTAGGATAACAATGGCCCGCGATCGTCGGAGCGTGTGTGCACTCTTCCAGGTCAGGGTTCACGCCCGACCGAGCCCCAACCGGAGAGAAAAACGGGATTCGTGTATTACATAGACCTCGTGTAAAATCGTCGAAAAGTCCTGATTAAATCTCACCATTGCACGAATTTGTTAATTTTTTAGTTAAAGGGACCGTTGATAAAACCAGGATTTTACGGGTTTCGTAGATCCCGTTGTTCCGGTTTTATCAATTATCATAGTCGTAAAATCGTGTAACGCGAGAAGAAGTCTCGCTTTGTCGGCCCAGCATCATTAGGGTCGTCCTCTACCCAGGAGATTCCCTTGTTCTACTTCACACGAACGACGAGCAGTCGAAAGGCGAATGCGTTTGGTCCCGGGAAGTAAAGAAACGAATACAATGGCCTCTTATAATAGTAAATATGAAATTAAATACACGAGGTATTATTAAATGAAGAAATTTAACACTAGAAGGACTGAAACTTAG